TGAACCTGCCTTTCGCTTTCGAGAGAGAGTGCTTTTAGGGCACGCAGCGCCTCGCTTGCGCTGATTCGGGCCTCTAGCGCCTTCCTCTCCACATCTTCCTTCTGACTCGGAAACAGCATTACCCTGGGCTCGACCTCACACAGCTGCGGCTGGCAGGATTCCAGCTTGGAAAGCAGTACATGTTCACTCGACGGCTCAGACAAACTTACCACATGATTTGCGACGATCTGTTAGATCCCTATTGAGTCCTATTGCTTTACAAGCCAGTTGCGGCTATTGTTTGTGTGGTTCCAAGCAAACCTAAAAACACAAAAAGCCAAGACCAGCCAACAGATTGCTGGGTAAACGATAGATTCTTAGGCTGCTCTTGCTTCCCAAGGGCAATCATTGGAAGGAGCCAAAAGTTGGTCCGGGTTCGCGACTAGCGAGGTCCACGCTACTTTGAATTCCTCTCCACTAGTGCCACCCTCCCCCCAAACTAGCATGGAACCCATTTAAAGCGCGCTATAACGAATAGGCGGCCTTGTGGAGTTCCATGGTAGTTTTGCTAGGGTGCACACCTGTTTTCCCCATTGAGCATTTTCCAGTATAATTTCGAGTGCCTGTAGAAGAGTACTGTGCGCAACGTCCAGGCAGAGCAATTTATGATGCGGTCTCGGCCCTGCTGATTAAAATCTGACATTATCAGCTACTGTTAATATTACGCTTACCACGGGGTACGGGACTCTTACGGGTGGACATAGGGGCCGTTTTGGTAGTTTAGATCGTATATTCCTTAATAGTAGCCCAGGTCCGCTGTTTTAAGCAAATATTGACTGTAGATTAATATGGGGCCGGAATGATGAGATTGCGTCTTGGGATGGGTAACTAGAGTTCGTAGCCTCTCAAACAATCCCCATAGAATCCTAAGAGGTTGTAACCGTCGACTATTTCTAGGATCCCCAAAGCCCACTTTTTCTGAAAGCACATGTCACCCATAACCCCAACCCCAAAACCCTCCATAGCCTGAACCTAACTTCCACATGGAGGGGGGTTCTCAAAACCATGGTCCATCTTGGGCTTAGGGACTCAGATCTTGACAGCTCTTATCTTAACCTGTAAACCCGTAAGCCCTAAACCCTAAACCCTAAAGCCTTCCACATTGCAGGGTCAAGAGGCCATGGAAATCCAGGAGGCTGAGAAGGAGGAGGCCTCTTGGACTAGGGTTTAGGTTGGGTACTTCCCCCACCCCCAGTACCAGTCTTTCGTAGGGGTCCTATTAAGGGCTATATATAACCATAGTATAATTACTATCCAACTGTTACTGGGTGGGGGCAGTATCCAAGGTTCAGTGGTTTAGGGGTTGCGGCGTTAAGGTTTAGGGGGCTCAGGGTTTAGGGTTTTATCTTTCTTGGGGTGTTTTTTCTTTATAAGCACGCGCTGGGAAGGAGCACGAAGAGGATCCTTTGTCCGAAGCAGCTTGGCAGAATATGTAACTTACCGGGGGTTAGTAGGGAATAAGGGAATATATTATCATGCAGGGATTATATTCCTGTATTCCCCAACCAGTAAGGTAGATGGCGGTACTGTGACAGCCATGCCAAGAGGTACGGCTGGAAGGGCGTGGGGACTTGGTAAGTGAGTCAAAATCGGGGCTTGGCGCCCCCTACCCCTAAAGAAAAGGCACACGTACCGCGCGCACGGTTACACACCCCAAGCCCTAAACCCCAAACCCTAAACCCTAAACCCCAAACCCTAAACCCCAAAACCCCCCACTAAACTGGATCAATGTGAGGGATCCTCTACAATTATTGGGGTATGGGATTTCTCATATTTTTGTAAAAAGGATCCTTTTTTTCTTCCTAGGGTACTGTGCATAAAGTAAGAAGCATCCCAGCGAGGCCCTGCAAGATGCCGGCGACGCAGTGAGCGCAGATGCGGAAAAGGCATTTGACAAGATGAAGGCGACTATTGGGGTTTAGGGTTTAGGGTTTAAGAGTCAAGGTTAAGGGTTTGGGGTCTAAGGGATGAAGGGTGGACGATTTGACTTACTTGGGGGGGTTAGTAGGGAATGAGGGAATATATTCCTCATATGATCCCTATATTTCGGTTTAGGGTTTAGGCTTATGATGAGGGTCTTATTTTGTGATTCGTTCCCTGATTTTCGAGGTCCGGGAGGAGTAGGACTTCGGGATTTCCAGGTTTTGGGATTGTTCAGGTGACACCCCTAACCCTGCACCCTAGATGTTAGTCTCCATTTTTGTTTCCATTACCCCTATGTATGCCTACGTAAATCAGGGTACCCTAAACCCGAAACCGCGTGTAAATTAGGATTCAGGTGTTCAGTTTAGAGACCCTAAACCCTAAACCCATAAATCCTAACCCGGTTGGCAAGTTGGGTATGCGTGTTTTCCTACTGTTGATACTAGGTATCTTGCATGACCTAGTATATCGTGATGCCATAATTCCAGAGGTATAGCGTAGTCTTGGGTCATGACGGATTTCAGAACCCTGTCAGCCCCTGTATAGTCCCACTTTCCATTTCATCTGCCATCTTTTCCAGAAGCCCTAATACCCAAAAAAGTCGTTTCTATTCTCTTTACCATTATTGGCATATTGGGGTACCCCTCAGAGATACAAGGGCCTACTTGTATCTGGGGGTACTGGTATGCACGACATTTGAACGGGAGATGGCTTCGCGCACGTAGCCTGCGTAAGCTAGCACGGAACCCTACCGTGGACCTACAAACCTTGTAGTGCTTTCAACCCCTCAACCCGAAACCCTACTTGGAGGGTCAGGGGGACTTAGTAAGTAGGTTAATAGCCCCTATAACCCATGCAGTAACCCGACTTATCCCCATCATTAGCCCAATTACTAAGTCCCCCTCACCCTCCAAGTATACCCGAAGCCCTAAACCCTAAAGCTTAAACCGCTTTCATATTCCCACGATTCTTCCAGGCCGATGCGGCCAATTCCCTGGAAGCAAGCAAAGATGCTCTGAACAGATTACTGGTGGTTGACTGTTTTGATTTTCTCACCTCTAGGATGAGGTTTAGGATTTAGGGTTTAGGCTCCCCCCAAACCCTGGCCCTTCCTCATCTGACGTCCAGGTTGCCACCCCTGTGTAATCCGTTTACAATCCTCAAACCCCGCGTAACCCCAATGTGACCCTGCAGAATAAGGGTACCCGCTCCCAGAATCTTTGCAGAGTAGGACCTAGGTAGGAAACACGCACAAGTTATAACCAGGTCATAGCTTGTATCTTCTTACACTTACCATTCTAAATAGCACCAGCGTTGCGCAATGTACCTAAAATCCTAAACCCTAGATATCTCCCATATATCCTTGATATACCACCCCATACAACCGTAAGACCTAAGCCCATATAACACTAGTGTTTCGAAATAGGCCTACCCCCTAAACCCTAAACTTTAAACCCTAAACCCTAAACCTTAAACCCTAAACCCTAAATCCTAAACCCACCTAGCTAGAAACTGACAACTAAGGATGACGGCGCCGGGAAAGCTGCTGTTGAGGCCGCGAAGGCTCGGTACCTGACAATAGGATTTTGAGCCTCATCCCCTGGAGTTAGGGTTTAGGGTTTAGGGGTTTAGGGTTTGGGGGTTCAGGGTTCGGGGTTTCGGGGTTTAGGGTTTAAGGGTTATAGGGTTTAGGGTTATAGGGTTTAGGGCTTAAGCGTATTCCCCCCAATAATTGAGAGCCAAATGTAAAAGAACATGGAACATGAACTGGAAACTGGGGTTGGAGAAGGAGTTGTAGTGACTATGTGATGTAGCAGCCTGCATAGTTAAGCACGTTATGGTCTTAGGTTCCTTGTAGAACAGTATTAAAAGCTTCCCTCAATGGACCTCACATGATATTGGTAATCATTTACGCCCCTACAGTACTTGAGTTAGTCCACGAAACTTTGAGAAGCTACGTGATGGAAAGGGTTTACGTCTGGGATTTAGGATGCATGGAAATTGTATAGCGTTTATGTCCGTGGTTTTGGGGGCCTTTTGCTGATTTTCATGTTTGACTTTGCCCTACCCCGAACCCTATACCTTGGGCTGCAAGGTTTAGGGCTTAGGGTTTTACAGCTTAGCCGAGTTCAGAGGTTCTAAGTCCCATAACCACAGTTGCCCTAGGCAGACGTGGGTTGTAAGTACCATGGGTTCAATTAGTTATATTAACCTTAAGTATCCCCAAAAAGCTTTACTCAAGGAGGAACCTAGGGCGGGTAGTATAGAGGGGGGTACTAGTTGAACCCATGAAAGTACAGTTACAAGTCAAGTTATAATTGACCGAGCCCTGCAAGTTGTGGTTTGAATAACTGCGGGGGGCCTACAACATAGACCGTGTATGGTACAGTCCTCATTCATACAGAATCCTCAATTTTTGGACGCACGCATCCCTATATACCACTATATGATCCCATTTTCCATGTGAAGTTCCATTTACTTTTCGACCTGATGGTTCATTCTGGGGGTAAAATCCCTATATACATGCCCGCTATGTAAGCTTATGTGTATATATATATAGAGAGAGAGAGAGAGAGAAGGGACTCTGACGATTCAGCAAGTTGTCAATGTTTGTTTACAGATGCTTCTGGGGTCTTCCAGTAGGCGTTCCACTGGGTTCAAGCTCCTAAACCGTCCCAACCAGGGCCAGGAGGGCATTAAGCCCAACAGCGTAAGATCCTACTTGGAGGGTTAGGGGCCTTAGTAAGTAGGTTAATAAGCCATATAACCCATATGGTAACCCTAGTTATCCCCGTTATTAACCCAATTACTAAGTCCCCCTGACCCTCCAAGTAGTGAGGAGGAGGAGGACACTGGCGACCCCCCGGATGCGGATGACAAATTGCCTGGGCCCTTCTACACCAGGGCTTGGTTCCTTGGTTTGGCGCTGACGGCCTTTGTCGGGGTGACCTCTTACACTGCCTCTCAGCGGCAAACAGCCCTACGCCCTAGACGCTAAGCCCGAAACCCTATATAACCCCAATATACTATAGTAGTTTCCATTTTCTTTTCCATTATCCCTGCTATAGCCCCAATATATATATATATTGATGATCTATATCCTAAACCATGAAACCCTGCGACCAAAGCTGCTTCCAGGAGATTTCCTTTCATCCTAAACTTTTGCTCCGCAAGGCCCAGACTTTTTCTGTCTCCGGGACTAAGATGTTGACCAGTCTCAGCCCGCCCGCCCCTCTTGCTACTGGGTTGCTGTTAAGGAAATTAAATTAAGTTACCATAATGGGTATATATAGTAAATAGTAGGGTTTCCCCAATATAGTAACTTAAATTAAGTTCCTTAACAGCAACCCAGGTTATCTCTCCTTCTCTCTTTTTCTTCTTTCTCTCCCTCTCTCTCCCCACCTTCTGTAGCATCAAAGCCAGAGCTTCTCGTCTGGGTGCACCTTGCCATCCCGTGTAGGCCGTTATTGCCCTTGATCCAGCCAGTGAGATTCCGTTCGTGCCTCTCAAGAATAGGGATTTTGGTTGCGGCCATCGCTGAAAAAGATTTCATGACTCAGTTATATGAATATCGCATGACTGTTATCGGCTCCTTATTATGGGGGTTGGGGTTACCAAAATCCTCGTGCTGCTAAATTTAGACCTCTATATATGTCCCCAGTTTTCATGTACTTTTCGCCATATGTGCTTTGAGAAGAGAGGTTGGGGTTATCAAAATCCTCGTATCACCTACCATGACTGAACTTACCCTTAGAATACGTCCAGAACCTCTTATCGTGGTACCCATATCTCCTTCGTGGTTCCCAGAACCCCTAAGCCCCAGTCGCTAGACTTTCATCCCCTAAACCGTAATCCCCCATCCCTAAACCCTCAACCTGGAATCCCAAATGCTGAGCCCTAACCTGTGTGACTTGACTTTCCACATGGGTAAGGTCTGGCAAGTTAGCCAAGTTGCTGGCTCCAAAGGCCCAGAGCCAGAGGACGAGATTGAGCGAACCTACGACCCTGGGACTGCTTTAAAAATTAGGGTTTAGGGTTTAGGGTTTAGGGTTCAAAAGATTACTTGAAGCACTCCGCTCCCCCTAGTATACCCCCCCCCACCCCCCTAATATCAAATTCGCCCATCGTGGTATATTATGGTTTATGGGGAATATCTTATATGAGAGGGGGGGGTTTATAACAGTACCCCAGGAGTGGAGACTCAAATGAAATGGAGACAGGGATTATATAGTGGCTTATAGGCATCAGGGATTAGTATAAGGGGGGTGAGGTTCAGGGGGATATAGGGTTTCTAGGGTTATGTAGAGCGCAGGCCCTTCCCCTAAAGTTTAGGGTAAGGTTTCGCGGGATATGAAGTAGAGCATTATTCTGGTATTTGGTGAGTGTATACAACGTTCCTTAGGAGAATTGGGCGTCCAATTTGGGGGACCACGGAAGCTAATGTAGACCCATGATCAATAACCACCCCCCGTTGATAGGGATTATAGTAGGGATCCTAATATCTAGGCCGTTAAAGGAGACGGTTTATTAATTAGGGGTCTACACTACTTCGTACAGGGTTTAGGCCTCCGAGTGTAGGAAGTGGGGGTAGGAACTTAGGTGTTATCACAAGGGGTTTATAAGGATCAGTACAGTGCTTCCCGTTAGGCATCCGTGCGCCACGTGGAGGTTCCTCCCGTTGAGCACCTGTAAGCCGCGTGGAAGTTCATGGGTAGCTATAAGTCTGGTTGTAAGCGTGCTGGTAGTCTAGATCTCTGATGAAGATTCCATATCTCATTTCTCACCCGGTATACACAGCCCATGAACCTCTAAATGCCCTGCTCATTCCAATCGCGCTGCTTCCTGCTTGAGCCGCCGCCATTTCGATGGTTGCTACTATCGGTATAAAATTCGCAATTGCTTGCTCATGTTTGTTTTCTATCGCTAGTATTTGTACGGTTACTAGTCTCCTTCTCAGCTACAATGCCTGCACAGCCCGAGTGTAATCCCGACAAGCCCAACAGTCTGTTTTGAAGAACAGAAGGTCCCAACTAGATCTTAACTCAACCGCTATGCTATGGACTTTCTCCGTTACAGGTCTTTCCTGATCCGAGCCCCAAAAGTTTAAAACGCTAAGCCGTAGCCTAGTGCCGGACAAAACACCCTCAACCCTGAAACCCCGAGCCCTAAACCCCAGAAACCCTGAGCTCTATATGAGCCATAGTCTAAAGTCCTTACAGTGGGTTATATAGGGGACTACTGTAGGGGTTATTAAGGGGGATAGTAGGAGTTTAGATTATGGCTCATGTAAACCCCCTAAACCCTAAACCCTAAACCCTAAACCCTAATCCAGTATTTATTGAGGCAAATGACCCCCGAGCACCAGTGGCCTCAGAAGGCGCGGCTGGCAAAGGAAAAGGAAAAGCCGGCCAGGCTCGGGTGTTCTGGGCTACTTTTTTGGTTCAAGGGGTAGGGTTTAAGGTTTAGGGTTTGGGGTTTAGGGTTTAGGGTTCGGGGTTTAAGGTTTAAGGTTTAGGGTTCAGGGTTCAGGGTGGAAACCGCTCAAGTTACAACGGACTGATCACCCGTTGCCGCTAATGGGTGGTGTTTAATTGCATTGTTATTTGGCAGCCAACCTGCTCTTAAGGGTTTTTAACGTTGGGGGGGGCTGGGGGGCCTGAGGTGCGTTCCGGTTTCCTGGTGGTTCGTGGTGGTTCGGGGGTAGGGATTGGGTGGAGTAACTAAGTAGAGATTTAGGTAAGTTAGTTGTATGATACAGGGTCCAGGTATTCAATAATGGTATTTCAACGGCCTATTGGTGTTTAAAAGGGCATCAGGGAGTACAGGTTAAGGTTGGCTTCGCATTAATAACCCCCACCCCCCCTTGATTGATCTATCTCCAGTTTTGGAGCGGCTCTGAATAATATTGCCCAAGCAGCACCTTGGCGAACAGAGAATCAATTAAGATCCCAAAAAAGCATCCTCCCAAAGAATGTAATTTTCCGGGATTTTATACTTCTGGTTCTTGTTATGATTGAACTCCGGCAGCAGGATTTTTTGAATGTGGGTCTAGTCTTCAGTGTGAAGTCAGCATTAAAGCGACTGGTATAGGACATTATATGGGCGCAATCATTTGGGTCCATACCGTCTTTCCCGATGAACCACCAGTGAGAGGATTGTGGCCCGCATTTGCGTTTTTCCATGCTGGATCCTCTCACCTCTGGGTATGTAAGTGGCCCACAACTTGAGAGGCTCCCGCACGGGAAGACTGTAGAAGCTGTGCACGAGGGTGGGGCTCATACAGGGATTGAGTTATTCTCTAACTACTGCTGGCATGTTATTGTTCTTGCTCTTATCATCCCCAATATGGTTCTATTGGTCACGCTAAAGCTCTTTGTTAACCCGAGCATCTTGAGAATTACCCTTTGGATTTCATTCTCGGTATCACCGTGGTTAACTTGATAGCCCTAAGCCCAAAAGCATGATGCCCGAGTCCACAGCCCTAAAACTCCAAGTGGGGGTTCCCCAAGATTAGCTCTATCTTTTAGGAGGTCCCCATAATAAGGATCATAGTAAGTTGGGTCCCATATTGGGGTCCCCTTGCTTGGGGAAACTACCAAGTCCATGACCCCCGGCGCAATTTGCACCCTCAACTCCTAAGAACTAAACTGCTCAACCCGAAGTCCTGAACCCGACAACTTACGTGAGCTATAGTCTAAACTCCTTAAAAGAGGGTTATATAGGGGATTATATAGGGTCCCTATTATAGGGTTTATTAAGGGGGATACTAGGAGTTTAGACTATAGCTCATGTGAGAATTGCCACAGGCCGCTTCCAGCAGCTCCTAGATTCAGCAGCAGTAGGCCACCCGACCTAATCACAAGCAGTTGCAGCGACTTGAAGGTTCCTGTGCTGAGGGTTTTTGGGTTTAGGGTCCTAGGGGTTATATTGGGGTTACATTGGGATAATTGAAAAGAAAATGGAAACTGGAAACTATAGGGAGGGGTTATATATGGGTTATACAGGGATTATAAGGGGTTATCTTGGGTATATTGGGAAACTGGAAAATCAAATGGAAACTACTATTTTCGGTTTAGGGGGTTGAGGGTTTAGGGCACAGAGGGCAGGGGTAGTTCAGAGTCAACCCTAAACCCTAAACCCTAAACCCTAAGGAGTAGGGCCGAGGGTATGGGATTCAGGCTTTGAGCTCTGGGAGTTGGGTTTCAGGGCTTTGGACTCTTGGAGTTTGGAGTAGGGTTCCCTACATAACCCCTATATGGGTGGTTGTCAAAATTATGGTCCCTTTTTGGGTACCCTACATACTAGGGGCCGTATCATAATAGGGACCCAGAAAGGGACCATCTTGACAACTACCTATATAACCCCTACTATAACATAGTAGTTTCCATTTTCTATATCATTCTCCCTAAGCCCTACAGCCCTAATTTCTTAATTCTGGGAGGTAGTCAAATCTTCTATAGAAGCCCAATCCAAGATTTGTCCTAATCACAGCGACCCAGCAGGGACCTGGAGCAGCGACAAGTCCCAACTCACGGATTCCTCGAGAGTTGTAGGGTTTAGGTTAGGAGGACCCCCCACCCTGCAATAGTGGTATAATAGGAATATAAGAGGACCCGAATATAATCCTTACTATTCCTTATAGTCACTATTACTGGGTGGGGGGTCCACCTAAGGTTTAGGGTTTCTGAGTTTTACAAGGATGTATCGCATCCGAATACTTGGGACTCAGTAGAGGGTGGCCTTGCGTTTGGCAACCTGGGATTTTGGAGGGGCATGTGCGTTCTTCTCTCAACAAAACTTTGGTAGAGACTTGAAGGATATAGTCCCTATACCATCCCCATATATCCCCAGTGTCCCTCGAGCACCTGAACCAAATACAGATAGTACATTATCATTTTTAACAGTTTCTCAGCAATTTTGAAAGGAACTCTGAACACCAACTGCTTGGTTCGCATGTTCTGGTTGTTGCTTTGATTGCCATCATGCCTGAGGCTGCAAAGCTCGAGAGTCCCATGTTACAAAGTGAGCACGGGCCATCCGGGCCAGGGATTTCCATCCTGTCCGATTTCTGGTACAGAACCTGTCGTGCCGCATCTGCGGAGCATGTTTGCGGAGCTTGACGGGCCAGCAGCACCAGAAAAGTGAGTGCGTTCTCCTAGCTGCTTGCTGTGGAATGCTTATATATTGGTGTAATATTGGGGCCCATGTAGGGATAATGGAAAAGAAAATGGAAACTACTATATTATGTACGTAGGGATTACTGGTGATCAGAAACTGTGATAGGTTCCAGGTGCAGATCGTGCAGCAGATACAGCAGCTGGCGGTGCAGCAGCAACAACAGCAGGCGCACGCGGGACCGCGTAACGCATGAGACGAGGTCCTGGGTAGTTCTCAAATTGCCATAATACATACATGTCTCTATGTATACTTATATATGCATGTACATATATATATATATATTCCTTAAACCTACATCCCGTTATATGCCCAACAAAGATCCCCCATATCTCATATATACACATTATCTCGGGCGGGCAGGCGGGGTGAGTGGTTTACTAGCAGGGTAGGGGGCACTTTTTCCTTCATCTTTCCTGCAATTCTTGGCCAGGCGATGCATCAGTGGCTGTTGCAGCAGGCAACTGTCAGGGTTCTTTGAAGGGGATATATAGATACATATAAGGTTTAGGGTCTAGTGGTTCGGGGGTTAGGATTTCGTTTTCGCCTTAGGTTTCACCTGGCCAGAGAACAAGCCAAAGAGTCAGCCATTGGTTCAAGATGCTTATAGAGGCACAAATAGAGTATACTGCTTCACACCGACTTCAAAACGCACTCTAACAGCCTTAGCCCCCCGATTCGCCTGACCTTTGGCTCTACCATATACTATTTTACTTTCTATTTTCTTTCCCATTATCCCAATATTACTCCAATATACTATTGTAGCTTTTCCATTTCATTTTCCATTATCCCAATGCAACCTCATATTACACTATAGAACCCCAATATAACCCCTAAGGGTTATCCCTAAAGGCGTTTCATCTTGCTTCCGTTGCTCTCCCGTGGTTGTTACGCAGGGTGTAGTGCATTCCTTGTGCTCACCATAGCCATAGGGTTTAGGGTTGGGCTTAGGGTTGAGGGTTTAGCCCCCAGACCCCTCACTACGCCCTGAAGGGTGTTGAGATTATGGTCCAGTTTGGGTTATCTGTATAACGTGGCACAAAGGAACCATAATCTTGACAACCTCCGATATTAAGCCTAAATCGCTCCAACCATTGCTTGGATATGGATGCCTTGCCCCTTGAAATGGACGCTGTCTAGTATACATTCCGGCAAAAGACTACTATGGCTTGAAAGGGGGTAATATCAGCCACAGTCTAAACTCCGTAAAGGGTGTTATGTAGGAGCTTAGATAGAGGACTACAATAGGGGGTTATCAAGGGGGACGCTAGGGCCCTAAACCCTAAACCCTAAACCCTAGGAGTTTAGACAATGGCTCATGTCAGCTTCCATCTTTGCTTCTGGGGAGGGTAGGCCGTGGGGCTTCAGACTTTTTAGGACCTTTGGCATTAAGGTGTGTAGGGCTTAGGGCTTAGGGTTTGGGGCTTAGCGTTTAGGGCTTAGGGCTTGGGGGCTTAGGGATTAGAAGGTGACCCACACCATACAAAATCAAACTAATAGATGCCCTGGAATATATGGGGCCCTCAAAGCCCCAAGCCTTGAAAACTGAAGTCCAAAGCTTCAAATTCAAAGGAGCCTAGTCCCAGCGCCCAAGTCCAAATTTAGGCTAACCTCACCCGTAGACCTTACAAGCAAGCAAACACCATCTAAAAGCTCTAAACCCTAAACCGCCTAAACCCGTTAAACCGTAACCTCTAAGCCGTCAACCGTAAAATCAACAAGCCCTAAACTCTAAGCCCTAAACCCCACGCCCTAGACCCTAAACCCTAAACCCTCAGCCTGGAACCCTAAGCCCCAAATCCTAAACCCTAAACGTTAAGCCCTATGCCCAAGGCACTGGACCCTGACCCGACCCTGTAACCCCACTCCCTGGTGCAGATCCTGGCGCAGCAGCAGGAGCAAAAAGCCAGAGACCCGACGTGGGAGTTTCTTCCTTCATTCGCTTTAGGGGTTTTGGTTTCGTGTGTAGGGTTTAAGGCTTAGGGCTTAGGGTGTACGGCTTGGGGCTTGGGGTTAAGGTTTAAGGCCTCAGGGGTAAATCTGAGGGGATACATGTATCACCTTTCTTTCATCCCATATACTCTCAGCATGCCTAGAGGTACCCAATTCTGAGAAGCCCCCCACATGAGCTATAGTCTAAACTCCTTAAGGGGGTTATATAGGGGACTACTATAGGGGATATTAAGGGGATACTAGGAGTTGAGATTATGGCTCACATGATCCGGGAGTCATGGAGC